TCATTTTTATTAAAAACAATAACTTTTTATCGAGTAAGTGTAAAATTAAACCATTGTAATTTTAATCCTTCCTTGCTTTGAAAGGTGCATTTGTCAGTAAGTAGATAGAAAGATAGATTTCATTTACGTTTTATGAAATAGAGGTCGACAAAGCAAAACATGGGAGAATTAATTCAAATTAACAGTAGGTTGAAAAGAAAGATTGCAAAAAAATAGAAAATAGTGGAAATTTTTAGAGCAGGCCTTCGGCAGGTCGGGCTCAGGGACATATATAAACATCACAAAGAAGAAGCACTATATAGGAAATAAGGGTTATCAGTCTGTAAGATATCTGTATGTATAGCTGTGATTAAAAAGGAGTGGCCGTGAGTTGTTTGCCCTCTCTTGTTATAAGATTCAACCCCTTGGAAACGGGCGCTAGTAGACCGGCACAGACATACTCGTATAGGTCATGGATTGACTTGATTTTGATCAATATTTGACGAAACGGATTGTTGCTATTGTCTGTGTGTGTCTAAGATAAGAGTCTACATAAAAGAATTTTAACTTGGAAGAAACTTTAAACTCCTTTAAAATTCAAAATATCTTTAGTTGCGTGTGTAGCCTTTATATCCATAAAAAAAAATTAGATAGGTAGATTAGGTACTTACCTACATACCTACCTGGCGAGTTATCAGCTGAACTATCCTACATCCTAATAATAACATCAGTACGTCAGCCTTTTAAAATGTTTGTGTCCATTTTTATTGTGAGTTCTACACCACAGTACTTGGTTTCTTTTTCTTGTTTTCTACTAAGTCTTTCCTTAATAGAGAATATTTCTAAATACAAATAATAATTCTATATTTCTAATTTTTATTATAAGTCAAACATTTGTGTGCATGAACATTTAATGTTTGATTTGGTCTGGGTGTTTCTATGTATAATATGTATGTATTTACAAAAAAAAAAGTATATATGTATTTATATCAGTTGTCTAGTACCCATAGTACAAGCTCTGCTTAGTTTGGGACTAGATGGCGTTGTGTGAATGTGGTAGATTATTATTATTATACGTAGGCTGTCTATACTGGTTTACTACTATACCGGTTTACTAAGAAATAATATGGTTTGTAAACATGACACTGTATATTCTGAATATGAAAGGGAAAACCCGTAAACAACATCAAAAAGGACGTCTGATATACCTATTTCATTCAATTATTCATAACTTACTCGTAATCAATGCTCGTAGGTATATGAATGACCGAAGATCGTATGAGAAAACATGACTCAAGTCCCGCATAAACTAGGTATTTTATTTAGAACTTATGGATGATCAAAGGCTTTAGAACTATTCTAAAAGGTGATTTTTGGTTCTTTGTAATTCAAGGTCATTGTTAACCACACAATAAATTTCAGAAATTTTAATAATCTCTAATAAATTATCTATACTAATATTATAAAGCTGAAGAGTTTGTTTGTTTGTTTGTTTGTTTGAACGCGCTAATCTCAGGAACTACTGGTCCGATTTGAAAAATTCTTTCAGTGTTAGATAGCCCATTTATCGAGGAAGGCTATAGGCTATATATCATCACGCTATGACCAATAGGAGCGGAGCACCAATGAAGAATGTTTCAAAAACGGAGAAAATTTATTACTATTGAGAGACGCAGACGAAGTTGCGCGGGTCAGCTAGTCTCTAATAAACTGGACATAATAAATCCATGTCACTGACACGTGCTTGACTTAAATAACATAGTAAATGTTTATGAACTATTACCAATGATCAATTATATTATACCTGTTTCTGAAGGAGAACTCTGATCCATTAAAACTTTAGAGAACTATTAATCACCCTCGAGAAGAAAAAAACTATAAAATACCAAAGTAATTAAACAAGTACTGCTTCTTTAATTACTTTGGTATTTTATAGTTTCAGCAGCAGGTTTATAAGCAGTGAATATACCACATAATACAATTTAAATTATATTGATCAGAAAAAAGAACATTTTTTTTCTAAACGAAAGCAAACTAAATACTTTCTTAAATATAAGGATATTATACCTAATTCAGACACCAGTCCTCTCACAATTACTGTTTCTAATGTTAATTATTGATGTAAGTTAATATTGTATTTTTTGGTGATTGCAAAATAAGAAGAATTATTTATTAGATATTATTATTATACAAATAGGGTGGCAGCAAGCACACAGCCCACCTCACGATTACATGACTCACAATAACTTATGCGAAAATTAGTTTTTTATTATTTAAGAAAACATATTTTTTGCGATAACAAAAAACAAAAGTGACAATTTCCCAGTCCCTCCACATTTATCGTGTCTCAATTAATCTCAATAATATTTTCGCGCGATACTATTTTACAATTTCAATTGTAACCTAAAACCGGAAAATCATTTGATAGACGCCAAACAGCATTTGCAGACTAAGCTCCTTTAAAAGCAATTGTCTATGTACTGATTTTTCAACCAATTCATACAAAGTCTGCAAACTTTGCCAATATAGAAAGATGCAATGGCCCTTTGACGACTATGATTCACTGGAAAAAAAAAACAAAAAATATATATTTGAATATTCGTTTAGATACTTTGCATAAAAGTAGAACAGCAGTAGTGATGTGCCGGATATCCGTATCCGTATCCGCGGATATCCAAGGGAGAAGAGAGATCCGTAACCGTATCCGTATCCGTGACTTTTTTGGCGGATCTTTCAATACATAGATGAAATTCTATACAGGTGATTTTGTATTCACTGTAAAACTCTTAGGTATGTGTTTGTAACACTATAAACAGCAACTTTTTTTCTGGCCAAAGTCAATATGAAAAAAAATTGGTCCTCCATTCAAATGACCAATCAAATGTTGTTAGTTTGTATGAAGAAACATTTTTTTTTTCTTTCGTTTTCGGTGTTAGTCCAGAAGAAAAGTTGTTGTTTATAATGTTACTAATATGCACTTCAGAGGTTTTCAGTAAATTTAAAATAACCCTGAATAATGGTTATTAGGTAGCTATGAAAAACTATTGAATTCTGTTCAGATTACTTTTATTTCTTAAAACAAATATTTTGCACCTTTGTATTGCAATCATTTGCTGTCAACCCTTTTATTAATTTATTGAATGGATCATTCAACAATATTAAGGATTAATATTGAAATTTTTAGTCTGTGATTACCACAATAAAGTAGAAAAAGAAACCAACAAGACTATTTTTCCTGTAATAAAATCATACGTACAAATATAAAACCTATAATTAAAACGCAGTAAATATCACATAAATGTTATATACGAACATCTAAAGCTTTTTTAAATAATGCTTTGTTTTAAATTCTTATATTTAATGGGCCGTAGGCATGCAGGACGAGTTTGTGAATTACTCTATCATCAACATCATAATTACAACATTACTTAAGGGGCGATAACATTTTTCATAACTTAAGTCTCACGTAATTACACAGGTAACAGATATGCATTACACTTAGTACATATCTAAATTCAAGACAAATGCTAACAAGCTACACACACAAATAAAGACCTAACCAAAATAAAATGAAAAAACAGAAGACAACAAAAATAAAACAAAACAGGCGCTCTAAGAATTGGGTTCGGGAACATTGCTCCGTATGGAATGCAATGTCTATATGATGTGAATTTCATTGAGAAGATATCAATATTTACCACAGTCATAGACTTTTATTGAAAGTGGTATTTAATGTAGATATTTCTTAAGTACTATGACTACACGTATTAATCTTAAAGTTGTTTATGAATTGCGCATCTATAGAACTTTTTATATTTTGTAAAATAGTATTATTAACTCAGAATGAACGCTTTTGTCTTCTAAGCACATGCAACAATGTTTTAACTTATGAGTCTATTGTGGAATAGTTTAAGAAAACCGTTTTTATGCACAAATACCTGATGAAGCGAGACTGAATTGACTCAATTATTTAAAGCATAAACTTTTCTCAAAACTGTATAGGCTATTATATTTTTTATGAATAGCCATTACCGCATGTAATTGAATAATGTAATTAACTCTTGTATTTTAATTATGATAAGTAGGTACACGTGTATTTACTTGACTAAACTTTTTAGTTTTAGTATATTTAATCTAAGCTTTTAACCTGATTCTCGCCATGCAAATATAGGATACAAAACCCACAAAATAGAATAATAATAAATTTGTTTTGTTTGAAATATTAATTAAAAAGCTATTATAATTATAAGTATAGGTATCATTCGTATTTCAAAAACTACAAAAAATAATCTTGTTTTTACCAATGATATTGTAAATATATAATGACATAATTTTCAAGAATATAGATTAACATTGTAGTGGATCACATTCACAGTTCATTGTACTTGACAACAAGCCTCCTTGTTTACTTTGAGCGACGTAATATAGGTTAGCGGTGCAATCGCAACCCTTATTCTAAACGCAAGGTCAATTGCTATTACGGCTTACGTAACACACAATGTAAATCACTTGTGCAATATGCCAAAGGGTTTTCTACAACTTTTTTTTGTTTATTCCGTAGTATTTCCACCCGGGGCAGTATTATAAATAAAAATAATAAATGTGAGCAACGGTATTCTCAACGCCAAGGTTATAAAATATGAAAGTGAAAAATAACAAACATAACATTGGCGTCGTCGCGGTATTATTATAATCTTTACTCTGAAGCTTTGGATTTGATCCAGATAAGAAAAGAACCAGCAACATTCTAATTTTAAAATTCACACCTTTTTTATTTTATTTTTCTGTGCGGAACTCCCCTCGGATACCACCCATCAGTGGATGATTATGTCGCACTCGAACCGACCAAAAACCGCACGCCGTCTCCAGGTACCAGTAGCCGGGGAAACCTATTTTCTAATAAAGCACTATAGTAATGGACGCAGATCTTTCAAATGAAAATCGATCGATTATAAATACGTTTTCTGATGAAAGGTTATTTTACCTATCAGGCCTAAAAGCATAGGTTTTATTACTACATAATGAATACGTTTACACTGCTTCTAAAAGGTTGTCATGTAAGATATACGAAATGTATTCCTATTCGTAGTATTTTTACAAGAAGATTGGTACCTGCTCACTGAATTCAATATTGGAAAATAAATAGTTTGGTAGGTATGTTCGTCGATGTGAAAACTATTTAATACTTTTACCTGTCCTTCGTCAGTTATACTATTTGTTCGAAACAAGACCACAAAAGAGCTTTTTATTTTCCACTAACTTCAATTCACAAATAATAACGACACCGACCTAATTGCCGGTCGTCTTGCTATCGATCCTACAATCAAGATGACCTGAAACAGGTATTATTCTAAGTAGATGTCGTAATGATAATAGTCGGTTATCTCGGTTTGAACTGAAGCTCTACTGGCTGGCTTGCGATCTGCCGCCTAGGCATAGGCAGGCCAAGCCAGCATCACTCCAACCAAGGCCAAGGTTGACGGGAAGGGGGACGGGGGACGTTACCGCGGGCTTAACGCACCGCGCGAGCCCGCACCGACCATTCTGCACCTCGCAGTCGACTCTGACGGTAGTACAAGCGCAAGGTAAGCGGTGGTCTTTTAAACTATTAATCTACCATCTAAAATATTTGTCTCGTCTACGTGTTAGCACTACACCACCGCCGCGCTTGAAATGTATCGAATCCATTGTGGTGTTATCATTCAAATAAAATTCGAGAAGTGCATCGATAACGTCCAGTGTAATGTTATTTCGCTAAGATGATTTTTGTTTAACTCCGAGATGTCGGAATTGCAATCAAATATAACTTTGAAAGGTAAACGGTGCGCCAGACGGGGGAACTTTCCCTCCGAAAAGTTTTAAAGCGGTTCCCGAAGGGCGGGAAGCGTAAGGCCGCGTGCGTGCTGCGTGTCGCGCATCGATCGGGCCACCCCTCGCTCGCCCTTGCCACTCCCGACTTCGATACATTCATTTGGACAAAATATCATTCCATCATTGCATTTAGTATCCTACGTTTCTTTTATTTATTTGCAGTAGTTTTAGTGATATAGTGCATGTTTAGCGGCTAAATAATAGTTATAATTTGTGAAAATGGGTGGCTGTGCAACGAAAGAAAATAAGGAAAACAAACCGGCAGACGATGCCGACGGGTGCGTATTTTCGACCGGCATTACTTATGTGCGATGCAAATATTATATTGCAATGTGCAAATATAATTTGCAACATAATATCGTGTAACTGTACTATGTTTCCGTATTACCAAGATTCGCGATGGATTTGTCCGTAAATAAAAAAATATACCCTTAACCGTATAAACAATGTTACGGTCGTACATTGAACCTAAACGGGATGTAAAAATATGTAGTGGATTTCCGGACTGACGGGCCGTGTTATGGTTATAAAGTAACGCCTAATTTTTATATAATTTGTGTTTGCATTAACAATATTTAAAACTGGTCTATGTTTATTGTGTAAATTAACTATCTATGATTAATTTACTCAATATTTTTATCAAAAATGTTTTAGAAGTTACTACATAATATTTAAAGTTAGAAATTAGAAAAATCTTTAAAAAATCCCTGTCACCACTACTTATTGCATTATTGCACAAAGCATGTTCATTGCATAGATGTAACCTATCGGGTCATATCCAATTTCATGATTGACATAATTCATGGAAGGCTAAGTAGACTCCGTAATCTGATGATGTTTAATAATTGCATTACCTTCTCAAGTGGTAAATGAATGCAAAGTAATAAGAAACTCGCGATAACATGTTCGTCCGCTGGTCGCGAGTGGGAGGCACGGCTGCGCACGACGAAGAAGCACCGGTGCGCAGTGAGCTGACACATCCGTTCGACTTGCGCGTGTCGGTCAAGGCGACCTCTGGCTAAATTACGTAATTCTACTCAAAACTGAGTGAATCTCGGGGTGTGTTAGATTAATAACAATCCCAGACCCGGCAGTTCTCGTAACGTCCTCGGTATCCCTAGTTGTTGCATTCATATTTTCATCATATTACACAGTGGCTTTAGTAAATTCCATCAACATGAATTATAAACTGAAAGTCACAATTCCTGTCGTGGTTTGCGGTGGTGCAGTTCTTGCGTATTACCTCATCAGGCGGTTCGTAAAACTTATTAAAGAAAACTTAACGTTATGTTCGTTACGTTTTCTTTCTGTGTCGTATTTTTGTTTTCCTTGATTTTCGTTGATATGTATGAAAATAATCAATATTAAATTATATTTTAAAGAACATTATGCAAAAAATAATTAAAATACTTTAATATATAAAATAAATAATTAAAATAGGTTTGCTCTTCCGTCGCTCGATTCAAGAATCGATGGGTACGTCACTATTTTTGAAATTTAAAAACTTAGCAATAGTAGTTGGCTTTGATTTATTGACTAGCAAATAATTTTGAATATTTCATTTTATTCAATTTAATTATTACAAAAGTATCGAAAATGTGTACGAGAGCGACTTGTGCGGCTTTAAAAGCGTTAGCATTCAACTATTCACACATGAATAACGTGAATTTCAGAGTGATGAGCAAACGTATGAGTGATGTTGCTTTTGTTACAGAAAAGCCGCAGCAATGGTGGACGCCGCAACTATCGAGAAGTTAGAGGCTGGTTACAGCAAGCTTGCTGCTTCCGACTCGAAGTCACTGCTGAAGAAGTATCTGACCAGGGAGGTCTTCGATGCTCTAAAGAACAAGAAAACTTCCTTCGGATCAACCCTTCTGGATTGCGTCCAGTCTGGTAAGTACATTTTAAATGTTACAATAGATATGGAGATGAGTAATAAACCAGTACCTAGGTACAAAGTTTATAAAAATTGATAAAGATTATCTGATAACGTACTACCAATTGATAAATTAAACGATACAGTACATTCTCTTTACGTTGCCATCAAAATTACATATATGCTATAAATCACGTAAGCCACAGTTCAAAGAAAACTAATCGTAGCTTATGTAACCTTTTACAGGTTTTGAGAACCACGACTCTGGTGTCGGAATCTACGCCCCTGATGCTGAGGCGTACACAGTCTTCGCTGATCTGTTCGATCCTATCATCGAAGATTACCACAATGGTTTCAAGAAAACCGACAAGCACCCACCTAAGAACTGGGGTGATGTGGAAACCTTCGGCCAGCTCGACCCCGCTGGCGAATACGTCATTTCTACTCGCGTTCGTTGTGGTCGCTCCATGGAGGGCTACCCCTTCAACCCCTGCCTGACCGAGGCCCAATATAAGGAAATGGAAGAGAAAGTTGCCAGCACTCTCAGTGGCCTTGAAGGCGAACTCAAAGGCACCTTCTACCCTCTTACTGGCATGTCCAAGGAGGTCCAACAGCAGCTCATTGACGACCACTTCCTGTTTAAGGAGGGTGATCGTTTCCTCCAGGCTGCTAACGCTTGCCGCTTCTGGCCCTCAGGCCGTGGTATCTACCACAATGAGAACAAGACCTTCCTGGTCTGGTGCAACGAAGAAGACCATCTCCGTCTCATCTCCATGCAGATGGGTGGTGACTTGAAGCAGGTGTACAAGAGGCTGGTCACTGCTGTCAATGACATTGAAAAGAGGATTCCCTTCTCACACGATGACAGGCTTGGCTTCCTGACCTTCTGCCCTACCAACCTTGGAACCACAGTCCGCGCATCCGTGCACATCAAAGTGCCCAAGCTAGCAGCCGACAAGGCCAAGCTGGAGGAAATCGCGTCCAAATACCACTTGCAAGTCCGCGGTACCCGCGGTGAGCACACAGAGGCTGAGGGCGGAGTCTACGACATCTCCAACAAGAGGCGTATGGGTCTCACCGAGTACGACGCCGTCAAGGAAATGTACGATGGCATCGCTGAACTGATCAAGATTGAGAAGTCGCTGTAAATCGATTAACGATCTCGCGCTAACAGTATTTTTTTGTATTATTTATCGTTTTCACATAAGTATTGATTGGATGTCAGATTGGTTGAGCCGGCAGACGGCACTAGTCAGCGCCCCGCGCGTGTGGCCGGCCACGCAAGCGGCCCTATATACTGTTTTTCGTAAACATATTTTCTATAAGGAAATGGAAAATAAAGACAGCTAGCGTTAAGACCATTATAATCTATTTTTATTTTACCCCTTATCACTACTCTATGAAACATTCTTAATTTCAAATATCACATAGAATGTATTATGTTCTTAAAGCAATCTATAGGTAATGTAGGTACAGCTTGTAGATTACTTTAGATATAAATAAAGTAAAAATAGTTAATAACTATTTTCTCCAGTTTCTTTTAATTTCTATTTCTTTAGTGATGAGTTAAGTGTAATAAAATCATATTTATTTTGCGAACATGAGTCAGAAAAAAATCTTTTTCGGATCAAACGGGGTCTCAGTGCTATAACAATTTATTTATGGTTTAAAATGCATCACATAATGCACTAAGATTGTATGTAAATGGACACAAAATATTTGAAACATAAAATTCACATATACCTAGTATCTCAAACTCTTAATTATAGTTTGAACTAATATCGACCACCCCGAACGCAGATTGGTAAATAAGAAATGGTATGTAATGAAATCAAATGTTTGTTTTATTATCGACTCCACTGTGTTGTTAAGTAAATTTATAAATACTAAATAGTAGAAAATATGTATTTTATTCCAAAAAAAGTAGTAGGTTAATTTAAATTATCCTTATACTCGTATCACACTCGATTCATAAATTAAAAGCTAGGCTCTTCTCAGTGAAATAATCTCCACTCATATATAGAATCTGCGACCTTTTGAAGTTTGATATTTTCGACTCCCACTTTCACTGCTACTTGTTGTATAAAACTTTTTCTAAATTTTTATCGTCTCCCTCTTTCTACTTTTCTACCAATAATATTTTGAAGAAGTTAACATGTATTATTGAACGCCCACCTTTTCTTCACTTTTGTTATTCATAGTTTTTCATTTAGTTTATAGTTTATATTTTAGTGGAACTTCCACTTTCGTTCTTTATTTCTGTCTGCCTGATGTTCAATAGCACTACATCACGATTTACAAGGATTACGTTTTATTTTATAAGCAGTTCGTCCAATAGTAATAACACAAATAAAATCTTAAGCAAATAAAATTACTTCTTCATACATACACAGATGAAGTGACAAAATTACAATTAGAGACATTCACTTCCAATATTTATTAGATAAAGTTTAAATTATTTGTGATATCAAACTAAAAATAGTTATGCTTGAAAATAATCGAAGCTAACTACTATTCACCAAGCTTTACGGCTTGGTGAATAGTAGTTTTATTTAAAGCCTGGCTACTCTGTTCACTAAATGTCATCTAGTTAGATTCAAAAACTCTACCTTTGAAATATATGAATTTATGAAACTAATATTTCTATCATGAGTACTCCAAAAGCCGAGAAAGATTTACATTTACCTCTATCTAGAGTAAAAACTATTATGAAAAGTTCACCAGATGTGGAAGCAGTTGGCGCGGAACCTTTGTATTTAGTTACCAAAGTTACTGTAAGTTAGCGGCAATTTTTTAACCTATTGTTTCGAAACAAAACTTGTTTTAAAAAAGCTGAATTTACTTTTATATTCATTACAGGAGTTATTCGTCACTGATTTAGCAAAAAGAGCTTTTAAAAATAGCAAAACTAGTTTTCTAGAATATAAACACATAGCAGAGGTGGTTCAGGAAGACGATACGTTAGATTTCCTTCGAGAAATTATGCCTAGAAAGATTACTGTGAGACAATTTAAAGCTATAATGGCTAAAAAAGCTGCTAAGAGTGGAGGCTCAGATGAATCCAGTGAAGAATCTTCAGAAGAAGAAAGTAGTGAAGAAAGCTCCAGTAATAATGAACAAGACTGACATAGACAACAATTCTATATAAAATAGAATCTCTTTTTGTTATTTTTTTTTTGGATTGAGTCCATACTTGTTTGCAAAACAGGACAGTCACCAATTTTAAGTAAAATGAACAAAAAACCAATTAAAATACTGTTGTACCCCCAAATGTGAAAAAGGTACTAAAAAATCAAGCAGACAACCTGGCCTGTCTCAAGAGTTGAGTACGATTTATATTTTGTCGGTGAACATTACAATAGAAGCACATAGATTAGAAAATCATTACGGACCAAGTATACGGCAAAAGGCTAGTCTATTATTATGTAGCCTAATAGAAGGTGTAATGGAAATCTGTGAAACTCTAGTAATGTGTTGTTTAGAGAGAGACTAACATTTGTTATCTCTAAAAATAATAAAAAAAAAATGAATTAATTCATGCTGTTACTATGTACCTAGCAAATGATTTTGTCAATGTTATTGTATTTATTGTTCAGCACTACACACTGCTTTTCCTTGCATCATTTTAATGATTTTACTAATATGGAGTAAATATTGTACAAAACCGGTTGCCTTTTAACTATTGGTTACAAGTTTATTTGTTTGTTACAAACATTTAGAATTAGCTTGCGCTGCTTTTATTGTTCTTTTATAGTAAATCATGATAAAGATAAATGAACTGTACAATTATGAGTAAATCCACAAATTGGTAAAGTTATTGAGTAATATCTTATTTATGTGGTCCATGATAAAAAGGTTTGTGTTTGTCTATTAAAACAGAGCAAAAATAAAATTGCAATATCATTTTTGATAGGTTAACTTCAATACTTTAATTATGGCTAATTTGTGGATTATATTTCTACACAACAATCCAAATATTTGTCTAAAAAGAAAATAACTAAGCATAGTTTTGAATGTTTAAAAAACCAGTGCTGCTTTATAGGATGTTTATCTATGGCATTATAAAATGAGAAAATTAGATTATTCAAATTTAGAAGAATATTTAAAAGGTTTAGAAGTAAAGTTAAATTAGATTTAAGTGTAAAATGATCTTCATCATCACTGTCAAGTTTAATTATGTACCTACTAAATGGTAATCGTAAGTACAAGCTTAACATTTTACTGGTAATTTTAAATCTGAAATCAATTACATTCCTAAAACATTCTTTACTTCTACAGTTTGACAAAGTGTGCCTATGAAGACAATTGTAATGTTAGAATAAAGGAAAAATAAATGTTCTCTTGTATTAGTCAAATAAATTATTTGATGCCCAGCCCTATATCTTTCAGTTAAACCCTTTTTTTTAGTTGAAAATTTGTAATAGTGCCCTCTAATGTAGTACTAACGTACTACAAGCAGCTTTAGTGACTATTGTGTTTGTGTAATGTTTAATCAAGAGATGGCAGCACAGTAGACGCTACATAGTTTTCAATTGAATATCCGATTTATTTTGTGTGCGTTACCCCAGCAAAATAATGTCGAAAATGGTCGTTTAACCGTTTTAGATAATAAGTTGCCCCCCTTCTGTTATTGTTAGGCACATTTTCAAATTTGTTTCACTAATTTTTTTTTGTTATTTCAAAAAAGCATTTCCTGCTGGGGTAACGTTTGAAACGTTACCGCAGCCAGACATTTTCTTTTTTAATTGGAATATTGAAATAAATATTAGCTAAATAATTAGTTATCTGGACAAGGTAAATGTTACAACTTATTTGGTATTTGTATTTTCTTCGGCTGCGAAGTTATTCGAGATCCTGCTGGAGTAAAATTTGTGGGTTTGCTGGATCTCTGAAACGGGTAAGCGGATTGTAACCATCTTTTGTACACAACTTCTTAAGGATTCGTTTTAATTTGTTTAATAATAAAAAAAACAAAAAAATAAAATACAAATACCAAATAAGTTGTTTCATTTACCTCGTCCAGATAACTAATTATTTAGCTAATATTTATATTCCAATTAAACAAGAAAATGTCTGGCTGCGGTAACGTTTCAAACGTTAAATATACACATTTAAGACTTACTTATTCACTATTTATATAGCTTTATACTTAGATAACAATAGTTGATTTTTGAAATCAATTTGTAAATAAACAACCAATTAAATAACCTTAAGAGTAGGTATACTTTAAGTTTTAACGTAGGCTTCAATAAGGCTATTTTTATTTCTTTTGAGCATTTCTCGTTTATAAGTTCGTTGGGTCGATACTGATTGAATTATATGTGATTTCTTGATTAGCGCTTTGAATTACTTAGACCTGTATTTTGGAAACGTATTATTAACATAACTGAAAACGTGCAAATCACTGTATTTATTATTAGAGACTCACAATGGGGTTTTCAAGTATTTAAAGGACCTACCTTTGGGTACTAATTACTTTATCATAGTTGTTTATAAGAACGTCATAGGTCGTAGTGATATAAGCATAGAGTACCTAAGCAAGAGCCCCAATCTTACAAAATAGGCACCGAGAGAGATGGATAGTAGATAGTTCCCTCTATCTCTTTCTAGTCGAGCTCCGTGGTTGGCTGGGAAAATTTGTAATCTCCCGCCTGTTCTACGATCAAAACCATGCCGACGATAGCCAGTCGCAGCTTAGGTAAACAGAGACAGAGGGAACTATCAGGCATCCATTTCTCTCGTTGCCTGTATCGCTTCCACTTTCTGGCAGCTGTACCCCGTGTTATCTCTATGTCTTAGGTACTAGTTCAATTTAATGAAGTAGGTACTAGGTGTAAACAGATTATAGGACACACTACAAACTTTAACCGTGGGAGAGCCATGCATCGGCACAAGCATTGGGCGGCGGTAATCACTTAGGTACCATCAGTTTGATCTCCTCTGCTATAGAAAAATCAACTAAAGTCAGTAAATTCTTAATTCCTGAATGTACCAAACAACATTTAAAAATAAGATAAGTAAATGTGTTAGTGTTGCCTTTTACAAAATTTACAATTTCAAATACGTTAAAGTAATAAGATTTTATAGTTTTAACATAAGCGTGTGGTTAACCGCTTAACCTACATAATGTTGATTCTAAAATAAGGCAAAGGTCTTCAAGACACTGTTTGCCAGATTTATTGACAATGCAGTGCGAACTTGCTTTGTTACGTAATGAGAGCAAAGGCAAGAGCTTTAGAGTAGGTACACATTATTATGCTATTCGTTCATTGACAGTCACCGCAGGATTTCATAAATTGACTAGCTTCCGCCCGCATCTTCGCCCGCGTGGATTTTGGCAACTGTGATCCTTTTTTCGCCCGGTTTATACCTATAGCATAAGATTTTTTGCGACTTCTTCAACAAAAATCGTTTTATTTTACGAATATACACTTAAACCTTCCTCGGGAATCACACTATCTATTGGTGAAAACTGTACAAAAATCCGTTAGGTAGTTTTTAGTTTATCGCGTTCATACAGACAGACAGTGTTGGGCAAAATTTAATTGCAAGGTACAATTAAAAATAACAATTGATTAATTTTTAATTGTAAAACATCAATAAACAATTGATTAAGTGTTAACTGTGGCGTTTCAATTAACAATTAATTAATTGTTAACTGGAAGTTTTTCAGTTAACAATTAATATATTTTTATGTTAACTGTTCATTGCCTTATTTTTTTTTATTTTATTTAAAAAAAAACTACTCCCGCATAAGGAATATATCCTGTGTCGCGGGGGACTTTACAAACATACATGAAACGGACACAAAGAACACCCAGACTCAGAACAACAATTTGTGGATCACACGAACTGTCGTCCCATGGGGGGATCGGACCCACAACACTCAGCGTAGTAGTGAGCGGCGTGGCGACCGCCTAATCCACTACACCATCCGTGCAGTCAAGTTTTTAAAATTAACAAACGAACAAATAATCAATTGTTAATTGTTCCTGCAATTAAACTTTAATTAAATTTAAATAAAGTAAAAAGAAATAATAGAAGGTGGAGAAGTGGCACAGGATAGGGCTCTCACAAGGTTGTCTGATTATCTTGCAAAATCAGCAGGAAGCCGTTGGTTCCAGGTGGAGCTAAATCGTTATTCGTGGGAGTTACTAGGGGAGGCTTATGTCCAGCAGCGGACTCGGCTCATAGGCTGATTTGTAATTTCTCGTATATAGAAAATAAAAGGCAAGTTATAAGTACTAACATAATATTTTTCATTGCATTTAAAAAAACTCAGAAACGGACGGAAACTTTCGCGGCGAAATAACTAAGATAACAAGAAAGATCATTTTTATTGTCTGCACCTACAGGTTCAGTGCAGAGAAACATGATTATTAATTATTAGTTTTAATTGTTTCTTACAACAATTAGAAATATTACTTGCATTATTTTAATTATATCTTGCAATTAACATAACCGAATTTAAATAAATTAATTGCAATATGCAACTAACAGATTAATTGCAATTAAATTAATTGTGATTAAATTAATTTGCAATTAATTTTTCAATCAATTACTACGATGATTAAAATATTATAATTTTTTATAATTTTTTTATGGCTAGTTATATTTAGTTATTAAATAATAAATCTGCTAAATTTCACATTTATAACTTATTTTTTTAATTTTTTTTTTGAAAAATAAGCTGAAACGTAAGAATCCAGAATCTTTAAACGCTATTGCCCAAAAACCTACATTTTCGTATTGTGCCTTTAAATTACTAAGGGACTAAGGGTGCGATGTGTCCGTGGGCTGGTGCTGCCATCATAATTTTATATTATTGAAAACATTGGTTTCTTCGTTAACTCATGTGTTAAATGCGATTCCATCCAAGATCTATCTCTTGTGGTTTGATTTTTACATCCTTTAACAACACAATTCGACAATTTTACTTGTAAATATTGTTGACATTTTTGATGACATTTTGACTGTCAAGGCGTAGTTTCGTTGTACGTGTGTGCATTTAATTGTGTATTTACGCGCCAAGGCGTAGTTTTAGTTAGCATTACTTCTTTGTTCACAGAGTACTATCTTAGTTTATCATTAGATCTGATCTCGTACCTAATTGCATTGAATCTACG